CAATAGAATGAAGCAAAATGATAAAAGTCCTTAAAAGAAAAAATACAAAAATTCATTACTTTTTTTAGGCCAAAACTATAACATCCCTAACCTTCACCAAGGGGCTGCTCAAGGTGCCTGAAATCAGTAGCCACTGACTGACTGATTTGAGCTCCATTTTAATAACTGCTAAAATACAGAGCTGGGAAGTCTCTGGGGCTCTGAAACAAAAAATACCCTTTGTACCCCTGTTCCTGCTTCAGGATTTGAGGTGCCAGCAACAAACCACCCACCGTGGTCCTTGCCCAGCCCATGGCCAGGCAGCAAGAGGCAGCTTTGGAATGTTTCAATGTGTTTTCTGTTGCCTCTTCTCACAGCAGCCAGAAGTTCCACACCTGAAAGCAGATCTCCAATCTGCACCCATGCTGGGGTTCTGGTTGGGTCAGAAGTGTGATTTTCAACCTGGTGTCCACCAGTGCAGTGTAGCCTTCAGGTGTAAATTTCCCCTCTGGTTGAAGGTATTTATACATGTAGGTGTCTCAGGTGTCAAACCCTCTCTTGCTCAGCAAACACTGAAATACAGGCTTAAGACTAAGCTTCTACTTAAATGGATGAATTTGGGTTTAGAACTATACTTTTGGATGTGTTTAAGATTTAGAGGCGGTTATTTAAAGGTTAAAAGTCTCAGTGTGGCTTTTGGCGGGTTTTCCAGAAGGAATGTTACCACTGACACTGAATTAAGAATGTTCAAACATCCTCTAAAATGTGGCCCTTGGGCCCTGGAAGTTGGGTCCTGCCTCTCACTGTAGAGCAATGAGGATGAAAGAACTTAGATGTCAGAAGGTTTTTGTAAGAGCAGGACTCCTAAATCACTTGGGAACAGACACCTGAAATACTCAATCACCTGAACATTAGTTAAGTGCTCATTATATTGGGTAGCCTTTGAAAAATCCATTACTTGTATCTTCAGCTACAAGGAGACCTTTACAATCTGGCTTACACTTTGTGACACTTCACAGAGCAATCTATAAATACCTGAAAAACCTGGGGCTACTGCTAAGGATGCTCAAGTACCTCAGCTAATTTTAAAACTTTTCCCCTTGTTAGTTTTCATGGCTGGGAGCTTGCGTTGGGATAATTGGGAGCGTACGACAGGTTGTGAAAAAAATCATCTGTGTCCTGGGAACCTCTGCCTAAGCAGTACCTTTTAACAAATCTGCCCTGCTGTTTTCCAGGTAAAGGTGACGTGTTTGGTGATATCTTCTGGAAGGAAACCAGCCTGGCCCACGCCTGTGCCAACGTTCGGGCTCTGACCTACTGCGATTTGCATATAATTAAGCGAGAAGCCTTGCTCAAGGTGCTGGACTTTTACACTGCTTTTGCAAACTCCTTCTCCAGGAACCTCACTCTCACCTGCAATCTGAGGAAGAGGGTAAGCTCATTAACTTCCCCTTTCTCTCACCAGGAGACTGCACAGTCCTGCAGGTGCTTGCAGCGTTTAACACCCCCCGTTTCCTCCCGATGTTTTCAGGTCATCGCAGATTGAGTGGCCTTTTGATAAACGCTGTCACTGTTGGTAATGATGGCTCAATAAAAGTTACCTGTAGATTTGCAGCTCTGGAGAGCAGTCCTAGCAGCATGACATATGAATTGCATTTCTTTTCCTTTTCTTCAGAGTTGCTGGTTTTCATTTTGTTGGGCTTTTTCCACCCCACGGCATAAATATATAAAGTTATATTTTATAGAATCCAGATTCTGGATTTCTCGATGTTGAAGTCTCTAAGATACAGTTCAGAGGACAAACTGATGGATCTCCATGTTATAGACCAACTAAGAGAAATTTATTGATGCTAAATAAATAAAATACACTCATCAAAGGTACTGTATTAATACCTGTTTCTTGCAGTTGCATAGTCTAGAATTTTAATATTGCAAGGTTAATAAAGCTAGGTAGTGAATTTACATTCACAGCTCACTTCTTAAACCCTCCTGCTCATTTTATAATCAATCAGAAATGCTCACTATCCATTAGTTCTTTCAAAGAACACTCCATCTAAAAATTAATTAGCTATGAAGACATATCTTGAAAACAGGTTAAGGGATCCTTTAATCCACATTGCGGCTGCAAAATTTCATCTTTATGATTTTTTTTTACGATTGATGAGGGTTATATAAATTTCATTTGCATAAAGAAATCTCATAACAATGATTTATAGATTACTGAGCATTAGATGTGATCCTCTAGCTGCTGAAACACATTTTTCTGCAACTGTACCTAGGGCATCTCACCTGTACCAAGGCTACCTCAGTATTTCACAAGACAATTTCAGCCTCTGCAGTAAGAGCAGTTCAACACAACTAGAATTTTACTTTCTCAAGTCTAGTTTCTCTTTAGCCACTGGAGCTGCTTGCAGAGGAGGTTTCAATTTCTGTGTATCGCTTGTGCTCATTAATACTCCAAGTATGGCACAAAATACCCACGGCAAGAAGCAGATGCAATGGGATTACAGTGCCCCTGTCTGTGCTGGAGCCTGAAAGAACTGAGTTATAATCAGGTTTGGTTCCAGCTTGTCAGCTTACCTCTGACTGGAAGGTTGTTAACTCCACTCCAGACCTGAAGGAGGGCTTTGGGGCTTGGAAGCTGGTTTGTGGTTTCTGGCTTATCACTTCTCTGTTGATAAGAAGTGCTCCAAGCCTTGACTTCAGCATTCCCCTCCTTGCCCCCTCACCAGCTACAGCCCTGCAATGACAGCTCTGCTCAGGCATTGCTGATGGTGATTTCATGGGACAAGATAATGCCACATACATTGCACCTAAATGAATTCTTTCCTTCTTAAAACTGAGAACCTGTCACTCTAGCTGGCTTCCTGAGGAAAACATGGACATGTCTATTCCTGACAGGGCAGTGTGCTGGAGCTCAGCTCCGCAGTCCTGTCTTGCATATGGGGAGTAGCCTCCTGGCTGAGTTGTCACAGAATTTCTTCTCTCACACACACCTTTTTTAAGGAAAATTGGTTTCATGGAACTCAGGTTCCCAGTAGAAATACCTTAACTCAGTGTCAGGTACATGGACTTTGACATGGGGGCGGTGACTCCCAGTGAGAAGGAGCAGCATTCCTAAAGAAATGTTATTTTTTTTGCAGAAGGGGAGGAAATGCTGTCTGGGGGAATGTGTGGGCAATACATGAGAGCGGATGAAGAGTCAAAGAAGGGTTGTGTCAATGTGAGACATGCAGAGTAGAGTTCATTTCAATAAAAATTGGGGGATGATGTCTAGACATCACCCCAATCACCTCCATAGCCCGTGAGGGATGGTTCCTCTGGGAGGAAATCATCTGGCCCCTCTTTGGTGCCCAGTCTGGGATGGTAAAACCATCTCCTTTTGATTTCACAGAGTCCATGATCAGTAACTTTTAAATACCTCACGCACATCAGATGAAGCCCACCCCTCTCCTGCAATTTCAGTCAATAACTCTTTTGCCTGGCCTTGCAGTCAGATGCGCTGAGCCAGAGCCTGCTTTGCAGAAATTCCATGTTTTGTTCCTGGGCACAAAATAGATCATGCTACATCTAACACCAGGGACACAGTCCAAGTCCTGTTACATAAAGTCATTCAGGGGATTGTTTCAAACCTCCTATCTGCTGGAAGGATACGTGATTCCCTGCTGGGAATCACAGAAGCGTTTGGCGGCGAGTTCATCCCTGAGGAAAATCGGTGCCATCCAGGACAGCTCCATCAGGTGAACAGAAAGCAATTGTTCAGGCAGTGAGGCTGGGCTGACAGCTGCACTGTGCTGCAGCAGCTTGTGCTGGAGTCATGTAACCTAAGTGGAAAGAAAATCATTGTCTCCTTTAATTGATTTCTATAGAAATTTATACTTAGCGCTTTTTCTACACAGTCATCGCTCATAAGGTTTGACATTTAATTATAACATAAATACACTCCTTGGGGGTTTGTGCCTGAGAAAATGGTTGTTCTCACTGTTAAAAATACATTGGCAGAAGTGTTCTTGCACCAGGTCTGCTCTTTGAATCCTTGGATTTGGTTGCACACACCATATGTTTGTGCTGCCGTGTCCCTCAGCCAGCACTTTGATGCAGTCCATAGACTGTAAAACATTTAGACGTTAAAAAGGCTAATAAATTAATAATAGCACTGAGTACAAAAGGTTATTTCCACATGACAGGGAAGCAAAAGTCTTGTTGAAGTGGGAAAATAATGTTTTCTCACTCCCAAATAGCATTTAGAGCCTGGCATGTTGAATGACCTCCTTAAGGCATCTGCTCAGCAAAAGTATTGCAGCATATCATGTTTTGTGCTCTGATATCTTTACAGCATGTCTGGCATCACTAATGCACACTCCAAGGCAGAACCAGGACTTTTAACTTTTTCTTTTTTTTTTTTTTTTTTTTCAATCAAGGAAAAGAATTATTCAGAAAAGATATTCTTTAAAATCAAAATGAGATTACATAGCTGCCTCTGAGGATTGAGTAACAAAGCAAGGTTTGGGATGAGTTTTCAAAGAGTTAATTTACTGCCTTCTGATGCTGGAAGAGAATATTAATAATATCTAATTCATTAAGTGCCTCTTGAGATTTCACACAGCTCAGGGGGGTCTCTGCAAGCTTGAGCCATGGAGCTTGCCCTGGGGAGGGGAGTCATGACTGATTTTTAGGAGGCTCTGTGGCATCCAATCACCAAAGGGAAGTGAGCACCCAGGGTGGAAATCTTGGGTCAAAAGGAGCCACAGAAGTCAGAGGATCTGCAAATGGTTGCAAAGTTTCATTAGTAAATTGCACACTTGGCATAGGAATTTTTATGAGTTAGTCCCTGCTGTCCTTGTGTAAGCACAAATCAGTGGGTTTTGGAAAAAGGAGTGGGGTGAAAGGGAGCAGAGAGAGAGAGAGATGAAAGAAAGCAAGCAAACAAGCAAAAGAATGGTGAGGAAGAGAGATCACCAGTCCTGGCTCCAGCATTGTTCCAGCTGGGGTGTCCAGGGTTGTGGGGTGCACACCACACGCCCAGACTTTGTGGGGGTGACTGTTTATAGATAGGTTTTCCCTATCCTGGAGATAAGTTTTAGTTATTTTTATATTTAGCAATTTAGTTATCATGCACAGTCAGTTCTTCCAGACCTTCCTGGAATTGGGTTGGAAGGCTTTGAGGGTCTTGGTGGTCTTGATCCCCTGCTACTTTCCATGCCCACATCTTGATCTCATTCCTGCACTTGTTTTGTGCTGCGTTGTGTTTATTTCCAGGCGCCAGAACAAGGATATTTGTCCTAGAAAAGTGCTGCCCTGCCTCTGTAAGGCCCCTGCTCTAGCCACATTCTGCTTTGTTTTTGTCCTTTTCTCATCATTGCTTCCATTTGTAGCAGCTAATGTACCAGCTCTGCTGAGCTGCGAGCCCAGCACAATGAAAAATCCAGATGAAATCTTGTCCCTCCTGAAATCACAGCTAAGATTCTCCTGTGCTTCTGCACAGCAAAGATTTCAGCCACAGCTTTTAAGGCACACAGTCACATCCTGCTGTTTCCTACCGTGGGCAGAGCGAGCTGTGTTAAAGGAATGAGTCAGGAGCAGCCGGGGAAGAGGACAATTGCTGGTGTCTGACCCCTGGAGCGGTTGCTCCTGGAAGGTGTGCTAAGAGCGAGCCAAGGAGATGTGAGGAGAGCTGAGTGCCTTTAAGGCAGCGAAATCCCACTTGGGGAGGCTCAGCTCTTTTCCCTGTGATGCTCTTAAAGCCAGGGACAGCACTGTGAGCAGCTGATGTTATCTAATACCTCCAGCACACTGAATCTCTGGGGCTTTTTAGCAGGCGAGGCCATCAGACTGTGTTAACACACACGTCCTATTTTCCTTTTTTCCTTCAGATTAGAGTAATTTCTTTTTAAATTGCCTTCCTCTTCTTGCTTGAGGTTTTAATGCATCACATGTGGTTTCTTGACTGAATCACTTGTCAGTTCTGTGTCACGTGGTTTTTAGAAAAGCTTTATTTTAAGTTGAATTCTGCATTCACGTGTCCTGAAAGTGAAGGTTGTCCCAAGGTTCATTCACCATCCCTATTTTCATTTTCCAGACCCTCCCAATGGTGTATTAGTGAGTGTCCTGATGCAGAAGCAATGCCAGAGGCAGAGACCATCACTTGGCTGTCAGCCCTTGTCCCTGAAGGTCACTTGTGTTCTGGTGACCCTGGGGACTTTCACAGGTTCTGAGGTCTGAATTAAGCCACTCACAGCTGCAGGAGCTTAGTTCAGAGCCGTTTGCACTTCACCAGCTGGTGCTCACACCCTCAGTCCCATTCAGTCCTGGGGAGTGACTTGCTTGCATGGAAAGGGGTCAGAGCATCATCCTTGTCTCAGGCCTTTTCCCTCCCTCTCTGGTCTTTAATTCTCACATGAGAATTGAACACATTGAACACATTGTCCCAGA